AACTAGAAACACACATCATCCAAATCCATAACAATCCAATGCGTGGTTGGATACCAAGTGTTTCTGCAGCCATCCAAAAAGTGAAATGCAGCACGTATCTCTACCATTATCAAAAGAATGAACTAGTTGGTATTCTGCAATAGTTCACACCATGAACCAGAACAAGACTGTGGCAGGGGTGTACCTAGAGCAGGAGGCCCGCCTCGAAGAAGTGGTTCTGGGAGTGGTTGGGAGGAGGTAGTGGAGCGTATTCATGCATGCCTAGGACCAGCTGCCTCGTATTTTCTTTCCCAGGATCTACGAGGGTCAGTGAGGAGCAGAGAGAAGAAACCCTAGCAAAGGTAGGGAGGTGCATACGGAGGAGGAGGAGGTTCGGGACTCACCATGCAGAGGCAGAGGTGCTGGCACGCAGAGGAGACGCAGTGGAGGCGATGGTAGACGGGAGGATCCATGGCAGCGACGACGGAAGGGGCAGTCTCGATCAAGGCGGTGTCAGAGAGGAGATGAGATGGGCAGGGTAAGCGCTCCCGGTCTGATGACTCATGGCTTCCTGTCCCGTGGAAAATGAAGGGATGCAGGCTGCAATTCTGTGTTTCGTGGGCTTCCAAATGGCGCGAGGGATTGGTCCAGGGGAGCTTGCCCCGCGTTTTTCTTGCACGGGGAAATTACAGGGAACCGGGTGGGGTTTTGTACTCCTATATGAGCCATTCGTTCTGATTATTTGACCTGATGTATGTTTCGTTGCACGCTGAATGGTGCTAAATTGATGGGAAATTCAATGGTCCTGCTGGACATGACCTGATGATCTTTGGTTGCACGCTGAATGGTGCTAAATTAATGGGAAATTCAATGGTCCTGGTGGATCAGGTTCATGTCTTTGGCCTTGGTTTATATGTAATTATTATATAATAACACCCCTGTGTATGTCAACATGCCTTGATGATTTTGCAATGCTCCTCCCAATGAAACTGTATTTGCCTGCACTTATTCTGTTCCTGCTAGAGCTCTACATTTTCAGGCTTTTATACAAGCAATTGCATAATCTGATGTGAAGCTTGTGCATTTGTCTGGTCATTGCTTATCTAATTCTTATGTGATGTGAAGCTTGTGAACGCATACCACTGTAATATATCATGATCTCTTCTAGTGTATAAGGTTAGTACATGGTCTGCCAAAGTAGGAGCTGGATTTATGCACAATTTAGAAATTGGATTTCAGCTTCCTATCCCAGTCATAACTAGTTGAAGTCCCCAGGCATTGCTTCGGGAATTTAAGGTGTAGTTGCAGAAAAAAGGAGCACATATGTAAGTTGTATTTACAAATTGAATTTGCTTGTAGAAAAGGCTAAGTTGGTTTATATATGTATCACATGTGGAAAATATTTCTTACAGCAAATATACTGCCCTATAGGTAAATTCAGAAAGCTAACTTAGTTATGCCCCTGCTCGAAGATATGTTTCCACTTTCCAGCCATGTTACATAATAATTTGGATGTTAGGTGCTGTATCATGCTAAGTCAGTGAAGAATTCTTACTTTGTACATTGTCAAAAAAAAAAAACCAGAAAAAAAATCTCATCTTTGATCCTCTTGCTCCCTCATCATTAGTATCCTTTATAAATCAGAGTAACTGTAGTTACAGAAAAAAAATTTGCATCTTATGCTTTAGAGGAAGTAACTGTAGTTAGTGGATATGAACTATGAACTATATAGAAATAATAATAGATTTGTCTGTTAACACCAGTAAAGTAAAATCAGAGTTCAAAGTTTTGTGCTTAGTTAGTCTTTGTAAGCATAAGAAAGCAAAATGATTGCTTTTCTGTTTCGTTAATGAACAGCCAACTGCATAAATGCAACATGCTGTAGGTATTCTTATCTACATATCCAAACTGTGAAATATCAAATATGTGATACCTGCTATTGATAGCCAACTGCATGTTGTGGTGTTGTCACAGTTTTAGTGATGCAAGTATTGTATCTGAACCCTTTTACTGTCATGCAGAGAGTGTTAAGAGAAGATGGTGGCCAATGGTGATGCACCTGCTAGAGGGAGTGCAGCGGCAGCTGCAAGCCTGCGTAGGCGCAGGACCACGAGCGGGACTGCTGGTGGTGGAGGCGGTGCCAGCTCAATGCTCCAGTTCTACACCGATGAGGCTGCAGGCCGCAAAATGTCACCAAACACTGTTCTGATCATGAGCATTGGGTTTATAGCTGTCGTCGCTATGCTCCATGTTTTCGGGAAGCTGTACCGCACCTCCAACTAGGTTGGCATTACCATATCCAAGAAAGCTGAGTCCGGCAAGAGAGGAACCTTGTAGAGCAAATTTAAATGGATAGCAAGTGACTATCAGATTTTGAGCTGTTATAGAAGTTTATTTATACAACTTGCAATGCTGAACGGTTATGGATAAATCCTTGCAGATTTTGTTTAGTCATTGCTTCATATTTTGAAATGTGTTTGCATATGCTACTTTGTGTTTCTGTTGTCATGATCTTACCATTCCATCCTTGTTGCCTACCTTTGGCATCTTGCACTGCCTAATGGGCCGTGGACCTGAAATTAGTTTCCAGCGGGGTATAAAGATGTGTTACAAGTGCCGTGATTAACTGGTAAGCAGTGAAGGACCTGATTAACTAGTAGGTTGTGCCTGGTCTACCTGGTGCGTGGCAAGATGCAGGGCTTGATTTTGTTGCAGTGTTTCTTCACAAATGCTGTGCATGTATGATATGTCCGGTGATCTCTATGGCTTTCTCAAAGCTGATAAACTATCTGGTGATCTCTATGGCTCTCTCTCCAACAAGGGTGGTGAGCACAGGAAAGCCACCGGTGGGTTAAAAGGTAAAAAACTAGGGAAGTAACAATCTCTCTGTTTTCAAATATTCGACACTTTTTTTTTGTTGAAAAAGTTATATTCGTACAAGCATGACGATGCTATCATTTTTGTACTCGTCACTGCATGTTTTCCCAGAACCTAGCTCTAGCATCCTACTCCACATTCTCACCCTGTTGGAGACCTTTTTTAGCATTAGGATAAGCATAAGATTATCTGATTATGTGGGCTTCATCAAATTGTCAAGCATTTGACAAATGGAGGTTTTATATCAAAAGCATTCCATTCCAACAGATCACATCCATTAGACCAAACTTGTTAATACCAAGCCTGTGTATCGGATTCATGGGCACCTGCCAAGAAATGGATCTAATGGAACACAAAAGAAACAGTATATTTGCCACACACCAGATAGCCACATCCCAAGTTTAAATTGCATTCACGACATTCTCCCAAAACCCCTCTCAACTGTAGCATTCTAATCCGTGTTCTCACGTTCCATATTAACATGTCTGTAAAATTGTAAAACGTGATTTCATAGCTATGAATGTTTGATCAAACAGTCAAGCACCTAAAGGAGTGGAGGCAGTAAACAATCACTCCCTTGGGTCGGTGAAAAGATGTCAACTGGAGGTACCAGTTCGGTTAGTTAAACATTTGCGGTTAGGAATTTTTTCGAACTGGAAGTAGTAACATGCACACCATCACCGGAAACACTTGTTCATCATTAAAATATGCTCCATCCAAAAGTGCCAGGCATTCAAGCCTATAGGAAGTAGGAACGGCATGCAAAAGGATATCGAACCAATGCCATGATCGTACTAAGCATCAGAACTCGCTGAAACAGAACAAGCTCACCTCACCTCGGATTCATTCATGTTGTCAGGAAATAAATCAAGTGAGGCATAAAACGAGCTAGCTTCTAAGAACACATCACATACGATTTATACTAAGTCAATGCTACAAATATGATGCAGCCCCAGATGATGATGAAGCAATGACCAAGTAACAAGAAAGCTGCACTTGCAAACAAAAACAGTACTGACTAATTAAACCATCACCTTAAATATATGAAGTTTAGGTCAAACTAATTAGTTTGTTTTTAACTAACTAGTTTATCTTAAACGTCATATATTTAAAGTACTTTGTACTGCTAACCATATCAAGAAAACCATTTTTGTTCGGTGAAGACTTTCTTTGTGCATATATATGGCACTGCATAATTCTTTAAGAAGTTTCCCTAAAAGCCCCATTAGCTACAGCATTGTACTCAAATTTATTTATATTTCCCTATTTTATCTAACATAACAAATATCTGCCTAGTTAAAGCACGAGAAAATGGAGGCACTAACCAATTAACATGTAAACTATAAAAACTAATTGATATGCATATGAACACTGCAAAACTTGCTCATCATCAACATATCTATGCAGAAGTGCTGAGAACTCCCAAAACTTGCTCATCAGCAACCATATACTACTACCAAGGGCCAAACAATTATTGATACAAATAAATACACATTAAACCATGAATAACAGAACAAAATCCCCTCTTGGGTTGATTGTCACTGTCAAGACATGGATCAGGGGAGCATAAAACCAGCAAGCTTGCATGAATCATGAGTCATGATGCCAATGCTAAATAAGATCCAGGTAAGGAGGCAATGATCAATTTGCACTCCCAAATCACAGGAACACTACTACAATTGCAGAGAGACTAACTTTCTGACTTGTTAAATCACATATCAAAAGTATTTCATCCATTTGGATCCAAAATATCACTCCATCAGGTGCGCACATCGAACACATGGTTTCATTCATCATTGCATACCGGTTCTTAGTTACCACTACTTGCAACTGCTAGTTACCATATCAAGCAAGCATTTGCACCTGCATTACATATACTATGCCACTACTACTGCCTACTGATCCCTTACTACATCAAACTGATACCGAGGATGATCATACCAACTGACGTGACAGAGGAAATTAAACGGGATGATCATACCAGCTGACGTGACAGAGGAAATTAAACGCACTAACGCAGCAGCAAAAAACGAACGAACGTAAGCAGAGCCATGTTCAGATCACGACCGCTAGTGAGAGTGAGACAGGACGGCGGCGGGGCGCACCATACCAACCGCCGCGACGGCCGGCTTGGCGCTCGTCGATCAGACGCCAATGGGGTCGCCGAGCTTCTGGAGGCAGCAGGCCGCGATCTCGAAGCAGAGGTATGCGTCGCGGGTCGCGTACGCCCACTCCTCCTCGCCCAGGTGGTAGCTGCCCCAGTCCGCCTGCGCCACCTTCGCCGGGCAGCGCGCCAGACGCATCTCCGGCCCGAGCGCCACCGGCGCCATGCGCTCCAGGCTCAGGCCGCTCACCACCTTCGGCGGGCGCCACGTCTTCCCGAGATTGGTGGCCTCCTCCTCCTCCTCGTCGGTGTCGTAGTCGTCCCGATCGGCCTTGGCCTTCGCCCTAGCGAGCGCCGCCTTCCCCATCCAGTACTTGGCGGGCTTCTTCATCAGCGTCTTCTTCTCGGCCTCCACCCCGGCGACCTTCCCGAACGCGAGCGCGAACAGATGCGTCAGCTCCTCCGGCCACGCCACGTGCAAGCCCCACTCCTTGGCCAGCTTCCTCGTGGCCTCCCGCGCGCCGAAGCAGGCGACGGTGATGCGCTTGTCGTCCAGGAACGCGCGGAGCTGGGTCATGTTGTTGCTGTAGAACTTGAGGCGGTCGCCGTCGTACTTGGCCTTGCGGACGCGGCAGCCTTCCGCCTCGGGGCTGTAGACGATGGCGCGGGAGCCGCCGAGGCAGAGCGCGATGCAGCGGATCGGGTTGTCGTGGTCGTTGGGGCTGAAGTCGGCGCCCCTCGCGCGGTCAGAGGGGTCATGGCCGCGCAGCGCGACGAGGCCTGCGACGAGGGGCGCGCGGAGGCGGCGGCCGCGGGCGACGGCGGAGGCCTCGGCGAGCCAGCGCTTGGTGACTTCGTCGCTCGAGGAGAAGGTGGTGTCGACGGCGGCCAGGTTGCGGCCGATCCGGAGTACGCCGACGTCGCCGTCGTCGACGAAGTCGTCGTCGCGCCGCCACCAACGTTGTCTGGGGGGATCAGGCCTCGCCAGGATGATCTGCACAGGCCCCTTCATGGCGTTCGACGACGGCGGTGGATTGGGAGGTGGGGAATGGGGTTCTGGGGGTTTTGTGGCTTGGGGGAGGAGTTGGTTGTCGAATTGCTGGCTCAGTGGCGTGGAAGCCAGCCAGGCTTGAGGCTTGGCAGGAAGAGGCGAGGGGAGAGGATGTGATCTCTTATAGCTGAGGTAGGCAGCTCCACGTTGACGTGGCTCGATCAGGAGCGTTCGCTTGCTTCCTGCGGTGCGATGGCTGTGGCTGGTAGTACGTCGATGGGAGTGGAGTTCTGCCGTTGCGGACAGACACACGGGGTTGGCAATGGTGGACTGGGGTGGGCCGGCTCGTACTTTACCGGACCAAAACCGATCTAATTAGCCACCAATTAGATTGATGTTTGATGTCTCATTTAAATAGAGATCTAGCCCCACGTGTCAATATTTAGAAAAAATATAAACATATTCCCTTTGTTTCAAAATAAGTCACATCCCGTATCTATTGTTTCGAAATAAGTCACATCCCGTATCCAAAAGTCAACTAATTTCAAATTTGACTAGATTTATAGAAAATAGTATCAACATTTGATTGATTTACTATGAAGGTATATAGATTCATCTAATGATGCTTATTTTATATCATAAACATTATAGTATTTATATATTTGGTTAAACTTCAGATTGATTGACTTCTCGAAATTCGAGATGTGCGCTTATTTTTCGACGAACGGAATATATACATACACATAGTCATATTCCACTCTTAGGCCTTGTTTAGTCACTTCGTACATGTGTGCAAATCTAATCTAATAGTTAGTAGATTAGCAAGACAGTTTTCTAACCAGCGCTAAAATAGATCCAAACATGTCTTGTAGCTCTATAGACAAGGAACACACAGTGCACATTGTACTTTGTATAGATAAGGAACACACAGTGCATACTTGATTGACATTAAATATGATTTTAATTACATGATGGAGGCTATGAGCTTTTTAAGCTAATCTCATCTAGCAATGTTTACTATAGCATGCCAAATCATGGACTAATTAGGCTTAAAAGATTAAGTTTAGTCTGAAATTTGGTTTATATTTAATACTCCATGCTTTCAATGTGATGCTGATGATTTAATTGTTCTATGAGCTCCGCTAAGGAAATGTTGAAACAATGTTCATTTCATTTGAAATTTGGTTTATCTTAACTTATGCTGTAGTACCTTTCATTATTTGAATCGTCTAAAGTAGTACCTTCGTTCCAAGCCGCTTTAGGTTTTCATAGGTCAACTATATCTAGTTTTAACTAAATTTATATATAAAATAAATGCATAAACACCTAGAGCACCACCTATTCTAATAGTGCATTTATTTGATATTGTATATTTTTTATATGTTTCATCAAAATTAGATAAGTTTGGCTTAGTATAGAACTAAAATAATTCATAATTTGAAATGGATTGTCCTTTTCTTATGGGTCATGATGGGCCAACTGATTTATTAGGTTCTGTTTGGCACGGCTTTACTAACACCTTCATAAGCTTTTTTTTTTTTTGCCAAAAAACTGTTTCATGGGTAAAGTTGCTTTTTTATGCTCTCACAAAGAAATAAGGTGGGATGCTGAAAAAGTAGTAGATTCCATTTGACGTTCGGTTGGATAGGCCCTTGGTTCAATTATTCATCACCCTGGAGCTGCTCTTTGCAGCGAGCACTGCTATAGGATGTGTTCGGCTAGTCTATAAACCACTTATACTGATTTGTATGATTGATTTGTTGGGAGAGAAAAACACGTTACCATAGCTGATAAGCTGCTTATTAGAGCAGCCGAACACGCCAATAGATTCCCTTTGGCTTTCAAAATGGTTCAGTGGAAACGTTTCGGCAATGAATTGCAACATCTTTCGCGTCAGATCTGATAGCAAAATCTTCGTTCAAACAAACAGGAAGAGCAATATTGTAGGGGCGAAAGAACTGCTAATCGATAGATGCACAACCTTCGACGGCAACGGCATCCACAAGCAAAGGCGCAAAGCAATGTTCAGAACAGAAACAGTTAAAAGATGGTTCCAGCAGGCAGCACGATAACTTTGGAAGCCAAATTCATTGCCCAGAATGCCTTACAGGTTTGACATTTACACATTTACTGTACAACATAGATAAAACACTGAATTGTACAGCAGCCTATTCTACCAGTCCAGTATACATCAATCTCTACGACCCCGTACCACGTTACCAGTGGTCATTTCTGACTGCTGATTTCTACTGTATCACTCGTAGTCTATTGCATGTTACAGAAGCGCGGCTGTGTGATGAGCTCAAACACAGTTAAAGTAACATATATATATATATATATATATATATATATATATATATATATATATATATATATATATATCATTCATTGCATATTCATGAAGGACTCCCAACTTCAGGGCCATCACTTCGGCGTATAACCTTGACTTACAACTATGCAGAGAACAGAAGATCGTATCATCCAATCTATGACGATTGGGTAAGCGCAATCAGTGGTCAGAATACATGAGCCACCATAATCTGCAGGTTGGGGAGCCCTGTAAACTGCATTAAGCTGCCATCAAATGACACGACAGTATATGGTAACCAGCTACGAATCATTTTGCTTCCTCTCCATTTGTATTGACCAGAAAATCCGTGCTGCTGACTCTAAAGCCGTCTGTGCGTTATGCGGAACAACCCTGATTACATGGTTCTGCTGGTCCTGGCCTCCAGATGACGGCTGAGGCGGGGCATTCGGAACTGAAGCAGTCTGTGCGTTACGCGGAACAACCCTGATTACATGGTTCTGCTGGTCCCGGCCTCCAGATGAGGGCTGAGGCTGGGCATTCAGAACTGAAGCAGTGGGAAAGAATGACCCCGGGCCACTTCCATCACCTTGAGCTTGAAGCCTATCAAAAGGGCTGCTGGCGCTGCTGGCTTGTGGCTCGCTGTCCCTTGATGCAAGAAATCTCCAAATGCCACTTGGGTGTGACATGTTACATGAGATCAGCGACTGCTGTTCCATGTGCCCATGAGGCTGTGGCGCAGCAGCATGGCTCCCTTGCTCCACTGCAGATGCTGGTGTTCCTGGATTCATCACTGGCATACTGAAAGGTGGGAAGTAGTTCATATGCATGGCAGGAGCACCAGGAGGGACCATATGCTGTGGCTGGTGAGGCATAGGAACACCATATGGTGTAGAAGGCAGTCTTAACGGAGTACAGTTGGCGTAAAATGGTGTCAACAGATTTGCAACTGGGGGACAAGGGCCAGCATAAGGCTTATAGACAAGACCTTCAGAAGGCGACATAACTGGGACAAGCCACTGATTCTGTGGCAGATTCATGCACCAGTTATTCTGTTTGTTGTCAGGAGCAACAGGAATAGCTGGAGGGTTGCTTGTAAAGGTTTCGTTTGCTGCAGCTTGATCATGATGGTTGTCGCTAAGTCCAATATCACGAGAATGGTGCGACGGGTTTCCTTCCGTGTTTTGTTTTGATAGCTCTGGTTGCTCTAGAGTTGGCTGGATATCATCTTTGTTTGTGATTGACAGGGTCTGAACTTTCAAATTTCCTTTAGGAAGCTTGTTCCTTTTTAAGGCCCATTAAATGGCAGGAAGAATTCTAGGCCGTATCTTTACTCAATTCACACTTTCAGGATTAATTCACCTTCAATACAGGATCACCTTCAATAAGCAGATGTGGAGATGCTGCAATCAACTTCTGCACCTGCTTGGAAGTCAATTACAAGCTGGGTTATAATGGCATTGTGCAAAAGAATGTATCACATAAGCTAACCTAGTTATGAATGGGAAAAGGAAGAAAGATCTATTTATTTCCTGAAGACTCACTTTTATCAGCTTATGCAGCTCGAACACTTGGACAGCAAAAACCCTCTGCTGACTGTAGATTTTAACAGAACAAAGTGTCAAACATCAGAAAAGCTATTATGCAGCAATCCAGAAATCAAGAAAGCAATATTTGCAATATCAGTCTAACAAGTAACGTACTGTTCTTTTGGATGAAAATATGTGTTTCTACTTTTAAAAAAAAGCAAAAACTGAAGGCATTCAGGATTCATATTATCTACAGTTTATTAAAAAGTACAACAGCATAGCTAGGTACTGAAAACCAAACTAAGAGACATCATCTTCATGTTTTTTTCTTCCATATGACAATCAACTGAAAACTAAAAGAAAATGAAATTAAGCAAAGTGAAACATATAAAATAGTAATTTTCTAAACAACACAACAAATACTTGGTACAAAACTACAAAGCAGCTATTCAAGCACCATATACTTACTTCTGAATAGCTCTTCTCGCCTTCCAGAAATGCTTTGGACCAATTTCACCAACAATTTCATCTGGAGAGAGCTCCCACCCAGGTATGCATTCCACTGAGAAGTCAGATAAATCATCATTTTGCTCTCCATTGTGATGTTCTCGTTTTCTCTTTGCACCACCTTCCCGTGGGCTTCTTTCCAGTAAATTAGAATTCCAGTTACAGCTATCTACATCAGTACATGGTTTACAGGATGATGGATTTCTAGTTGCTGTAGGGTTCTTTGCTTCTGTGGATTTTCCATTCACGCTTGTAGGTTGGTGACTGTTATTGTCAGAACGATTTATATTACTCACCTTATTCCTCATTTGACATAGTTTAGCATATTTGTCTTTGAACTTTTCTGATGCCTGAACTGATGAATTCTTTTCTTTAACTTCCACACTTTTGAACCTTGCCCTGCTTCTTTCTCCTTAACCTTTGGAGAATTCATTAACCTCATATCAGCTTCATTGATTCTGTCCAAGTGCTTATTCACAGTACTATAGCACTTTGCAGATGATTTGGACACTGCAGAAGGACTTTTGTGTGGATTTGTAGCAGATTGGGGTTTTGATTTATCTGCATGTTCTTGAGTAGAATATCAATAAAATCTAGGAGAACAGATGGAAGGAACCATAAATTCATCATCATTGACCACTTTCTTCCCAGAAGACTTGATGGTGTTGCCCACTCTATGCTGTGGGGTGCACTCGGCAATTGATTTTGAAGCACAGACATCCTTGCTCTTGGTCTGTAAGGACATCCTCAGAGATTCTCTTCTTGTACTATTAGACTGCCCATTGATAGAGTTTCCTTTGAACTTTTCAGATGAACGAGCAGGTTCATTAGACTGCCCATTGATAGAGTTTCCCGTGGGATTCTCTTCTTGTACTATTAGACTGCCCTGTTATAACCATAAACCTGGATGGAGAAACTCTGTCAGTACTTTGTAAAATTTATTGAAAAAATTGTTAGAACTCTAAGTTCCTATCTTCGTTTGCCAAGGCCCATCCAGTTAGGATCCCTCCATGCAAACTGGTAGATAGTACTTTCAAAGCATCCAGCAACTTTCATTTAAAACTAGATTAGAGGTGAGAAATGGAGTACCTAAGTGTCAAAATCCCAATTCATTCTTTGCTCACCGCTTTACCCCGCAAAATGGGGGAGAATAGGAAGAGAATCATGAGTGCAGGCAGCCCCTTGTTTTCTTTTTTTTTTCTATTATTTCTATGGGAATCTAACTATCAAGTACCTAGTCTTTCTACCTCCGTATTTGCAAGTAATTGATGTCTTGTCAGTGGTTGTAACATGGTTGTACTCTGGAGTCTGGATATTTTTTTCTGTCCTCCAATTTTGTAGAAAATATGATAGACAAGCATATCATTACAGGATATATATTAAAGATCATAACAAATGAACCTGCAAATAAATTTATGTCAGGCACTAGCTTTTCCTACTGATTGTTAATCATTTCCTATTTCTTTCTGAACTTTTCCATATGTACTCAGCAAAGAAACCCCCCGTAATGTTTAATCCCAAACACATCACAAAATGGCTAGAATGGCAAGATGGTTGAAACAAAACTCAAGTGAATGAGAGCCTCAGTACAAGAGCTTCGCTGCAATCCACTAAATTAGGAGAGGCATAAGAATATACCTGTAAAATCAACCCCTAGGGAGATGGTATTCTGGACACACAGATCACTGTGGTTTTAAATATAGGACATGTGTGCTTACAAAAAGGTACATAGGTACTTTCCAAGCAGCAAAGTTTGGATCCTAAACTCTAACACAACTATAAGAGGGAGGATCAACATTTCAGCCTCAGATAGAAGATCACTGAGAAAGTCGTGCAGAGGATATTACCAGGTTGGATAACACCAGCAAAACTAGGAAAGTTCATTACAGCTACCTCTCGGATTTGGTTTCTTTCCCTAAATGCACAATCGAGTCACTCGTTATCTGAAGTGGTTTGGGTCACTCACTCCGTCACTGTATTTTCAGTTGTTGTGTTACCTCTGATGGTCACAGTACCCTAGCTCCTAAAATCACACCATCTTACTGGTAACTATGCAAGTATGCAGCTGCACACGACTTGGCCAAATTTCCATGAGGACAACTGAGCAGTAAACAACATGGTGACAGGGGTGCACAGATCAAGTATCTACAGCTTGGACTTTTTCCATTGATTCAGCTTTCGTGTGGGTGATCCTCACATGTTTGTACTCTAAAAAAAACGAGATCCAACCTAGGAGAAACTAGGCGGTTTTTCATTAAGATGAGAAATAGGCACCCAAATTCAGTCCAAGAGAGGACTTGAACCTGGGTGGTTGGGTGCATGACCACACCTCTTACCCAAACCAGTTGAGCTAGGCTCACTTTCTACATGTTTTGTACTCTGGAATAGTTTTCCTGTCCTACAAACTCGCAGAACATTGGATAGTTGCTCATCTGTACAACATACACGCTGAGGATCCTAACAAATGAACCTGCAAATAAATGTGTCACGCACTGGGCCTCTAGCCTTTTGAACTGATTCTTGATCATATCCTCTCTTAGCTTGTGATCCTTTCTATTTATGCACTAGAAACCTAGATACTTCCTACCAAGTGTTGCCACACATAATTAGCAAAATAGCTAGAATACTGAGTTGGGGAAATTGAGCACGAGTGAGCGTCCTCAATCCAAAAGCTTGTTCGCAGATGGTGCCCCAAAGGAATCAGTTGTGGACATACAGATCACATGCTCTTGTGCTAGGCCAACATATATACTACTACGGGTTTGCAGGTTCGGCAATTGCGCTCACAGAAAAGTTGTTAGGATGCATGTCAGGAATTAATTTTCAATGTTTGAAAGAAATACAGTAGTTGCCAAGAAGCAACAAAAACGGAAGCGACAACGGAAGGAAAAATTAGGCAGAGGTTTGCCTAGTTTGGCACGTGCTAAACTCAGCAGCAAACAACACAGTGAGTACGGGGTTGAACCGTCGAACTGAAGAGACGAATTCTGCGTTCCCGGGGACGGGAAACTCGATCCTGAAAGCAGAGCAAACAGCGAGCGGCTCACCTGGGCAGCCGACGTGGAGGGCACGAGGCTGGCCCCCGCGGCGCGGGCGGAGGCGGCGGCAGGGGAGCTGAAGCGGTTGGACGGCACGGTGAGCTGCTCGTAGAGCGCCATCTTGTTCCTGGGCGAAGCCCGCGGGCCGCCGCCCTTGCCTGCGTCGCTGACGTGGAGCCGCGGGAACAGCGGGCCCATCACCTTCCCCAGCTCCTCCTTGCAGCCTCCCCTCGTCATGCCCAGCCCAGGAGCCAGGAGGAGCAGGCCGTATCAGTCAAGCAGCCAGCTCGTGGCGCAGCAAAAGATCCCCCGAATCCTTAGCGGCAGCTTCGTTTCAGCCACCACGTTCCAGTGTCAGGGCCGGCGATGAGGGAGGCCCGGGTGCAGGCGCGCAGCTGCTGCCTCGGCGGCCACGGCGGCTGCTGGTGGAAGTGGAACTGAAAGGCAGGGAAATTAAGCCGGGAGAGGAGAGCAGAGGGGCGCACAAGATTTGCAGCGTCGCCGTCTGTGATGGTGGCCTTACGGGATTGGGGGTCGTTTGATTTTGATGGAGCTTTTGATGCCAAACCAAAAGAGAGGAGAAGAGAAGCGAATGCTCATCCACAGTCACAGAGGTGGGGATGGGCTCCACCATGAGAAGGAGAGGGGAGAGGGAGAGACAGGAGGGGAGTAGTGGACGCTACGCTCTGTACACAACGGGGTCGATTCATTTCCGCTTTTGCCTTGCCTAGGAGCAGTGCCGGTTTTTCGGGTGGGTTTGTTGAATTCGGTGACGAAAATGCGCTACTGCCATTTCCATTTTTAGGGGTTTTACCCCGTACGAAGATTGCATAGCAAACGTGTCTCTGAGTACCCCCATATCCTTTTTCCATCCATATTTTTGGAGAAAAAAAACTCATCTCCAAGTATCTCTTCCTTATCTTTTGACAATTGACAAACAGGCTGACATCGTCCGTAAAAATACGGGCAGCCTTTCTCGCTCGCATCGCTCTTCCTTTCTCGCTCGCATCGCTCTTCCTTGCGCCGTTTCCTCGTTCCCGCGCGGCACCGCGACCGGCCTCCTCTCCTTCGCGCCATCGCCCAGCAGCTGCGTGCATGTGTCCGTGGCGCGAGCGCGACAACGCGAGGCCACCACTCGAGTCGCATGCACACCAGCGGCCGCCGTGCCCGTGCGCGCGTCCTGTGTGCCTGCCGCCGTTCCCGTGCCCGTGCCTCCCAAAAAGCGTCTCGCCCGGCCGCCGCTACGGCACCTGACCTGGGCATCATCAATTCCGTTCGTGCTGGTGCTGCCATCTGCCCATCACCTCCATCTCCAGACCTCCATTCCCAAATCCCAAGAAGGCAAGGATCATCCTGTCCTGTTCGGTCGGTGCTCTCCTACCTGCACTGCTTCTGCTTGCAGTCTCGGCTGGGGGAACCTGGCTGCTGTGCCTGGCTGCCGGCTAAGAGGTCCTGGCGGCCGGCTGGGAGGCACCAGTGGCCGGCCGTGGCTGGCTGCCGCCGGTTCCTGCAAGCTGGAGGTCGGCAGAACGGTCAATGGAGGCGGCGGTGACCTAATTGCGTCGGGGGATCGTGACATGGCGCTGAAAAAAAAACAGGAAGAAAAAAGTGCGTGCGACCACAATTTTGATATTTTGAAAGTCAAATATGGAGTAATCTCAAAGATGGTTTCTTTTTTTCCTCCTCATACTTCTTTAGGAGTTGGCAAAACACCATATTTTGGGAACAAAATTTAGGGTACTCTTTGAGATGCTCTAATACAAACACAGTTTTCGTCGACATGTTTGCCAGCTCATTGCCACACACCACATCCTCTGTCAACATCTGTTTGTTAGCGTGCATTTCCTTGCTGCTCCATCACCAAAATATGTTAAATTACTTATTTTTTTTTTGACAAGTCAACATCTATATAAGTATATAGTGGTAAAAAATTACTTCTCTAACTTTAACTATGTTTATAGCAACATACACTAAAATTTACAATGTCAAATTAGTTTAATTAAATCCACTATAAAATATAGTGATAGTGCATTTATTTTGTATTGTATATATGATAATATAATTTTCTGCAAACTTAGTTAAATTTAGAGGAGTTTAACATAAAACAAATTTAATGATCTACAATTTAGAATATAGAGTATTTTTTCTGCCTATAATGTCCTGTTGCTCTGCAAGTCTGCATGCATGAAATGGAGTTTATACTGTGTTTAACAACGAGTAATAAGCCTGTTTATTTTCACTTCCATCATATTTTGAAGTACCTTGGTAAATTGCTAGGTGAACCAAGCCGTGTGAGCTTAGCATTATCCTTGGGAAAGGTTCAAGCACTCTGTGGGGCCACGACGCTTGGAAGTGAGGAGCTGTTTGGTTGCCGGCCGACGTGCGCCACGCCACACCTACGGCTGCCACGGAGAGCTAGGCTGGTGTTTGGTTTGCTGTGCACGCAAGCCACACCACATACTGCGGCGGCCACCGGTCTGCGGCTGCTGCTTGGTTCGTGTGATAGCTACGGCGGCCACAGCTACCCCCAGCACAAAATCACGCCACACCTATGGCGCCGAAATCCATTGCCTAACCTTCGGCGTTGCCATTGCTGCAGCGTGGCGGGCCATAGCCATAGAACGAAAAAGCTTGGACGGTGCCACACATGTGTGGCGAACCTGAAAATAGCACGCTTTCTAGGTGCTCATCTTGCACTAGATGCTAAGCACCTCGAAAGTAAGCTACATCGGACGGTCTCGTCGAGCACACCCCAAGAGAAATTCAACAATACACGTTTTTCATCCAAGATCCAATAATGAGAACGGGTTTATAATACTTAGTCCATTTCATACAATAAGACTTCTCGAAAATATATTATTATAATACCAAGTTCAGAGTGCGAAATTTAAACAACGGAATTGAAATAAACATCTAATGATAAGATACAAGAATCCGTCTGTGCTCACTAGAAGAATCCTCCACACAACAGCCACTCCTCAAGCTGCACCTACAACATGGGTAAATAAACCCTGAGTACACAATATACTCGCAAGACTTACCCGACTAGTGGGAATAATTTTCCGACTCCAAATGATATGATAAGCTTTATAGTTTACCGGGGTTTTTTTTGTTTGCAAAAAGCATTACTAGTAATAAATCCTTATGTATGTGTTTTATTAGCAGTCTTGATTAGTTCATTAGCTAACCATTCTATGTAAGCACCTGCTCTACTTTCAAGCGAGAGTTGAGCAATCAGATCCATTTCACCATCTTTCATCTTTCGGTTATTACTATGGTGCTAGATCATAGACAAGTCGTACCATATCACACGGCGATTCACGAACCAATGTATCCCAGCTGGGTACCCCGAAACACATGCTCCACTTGTATCCTAGGCACAAGCAAGACCAACCCACCACTCTTCTATCAAGGGGTCCAGGTCCCTGTCCAAACTTGGACTCCAAGCCCCCACTCCTGAGTCCCGGACTCAGTGTGGTGCTTAGACCTCCACCATTTTCGCCTTCAATTAGTCGATCCGAAAAGAGCCAGAACCCACGACAAGAGAGCAACGAGCCTTCCCGCTCTCATAAGCAAGTATGTGCTCAGAATAATAGGTCTGTAACCTGACTATAATCCACAACAATGGACGATCCTTAACCGACATGGACAGGGAAAACAGTGTAATCAAGCTATGTCCTATTGGCCGCGGGGCACAACCTATTACACCCACCAATACCTGTACCATATCCATGCCCGGTCTCTATTTCTTATCACCATTTTATCATGAGTAATAATAATAACCACCTATTGTGAGTAACGACAGGTTACTCGCACGACCGATAGTCAAGTATAGCAGCTACTCGATCTATGCTAGTAGGACTTATAGGTAGGTTTATCTATACATGTAGTTTCAATATAAATCCTGTAACGTAAATACACATCACACATATATATCCAGTGATTATTCAAAATAAGGGTTATACACCGGGGCTTGCCTTGGGCAGGCAGATTGTCAGCTAAGTCAGTCAGTGATGGCTCCGGGACCTCCTCCTTCACAAGGACCTCCTCCTCATACTCCTCGTACACCTGCTCTCCGGCGGTCATGAACTCCACCAACTCGTTCTCTACATGCATGCAACGATAATGCAACACTTAGTATTTTGACAACAACAACTCTTAAAATAAGAATACACATGCTAAGCTACTAAGCTAGCTCTAAACATTAAGATACTAAGCTAATCATTATCTCTACCAAATAGATTTCAAGCTCACCATACAGGTGCTTAATTTTTTATAAACCAATATCATGTCATTATTCATTTAGCCTTAATGGGTATTTAGCTACCATATTAAATAGTCTATTTTAGGGCTACAAAAAATACAGTGAGCAAATAATAATACAATGAAGCTACTATAAAAAATTCAAGGTTTTTGCTATCACCAATCTACCACAAAAATTTCTACAATAATTAACTTAATAATATTGAGCACTCTCAAATAATTTAATAGCTCCTAGTATCAACCAGAACATATATGAACTAAATACACTAATAGATAGAGCACAATTTTAGGAACCTAACAAAATTTGTTTCACAATTTTTAGATACCTACATTATTTTATATTAATTACCAAAGTTCAGCTCAGAATTAAAATAAAAAGCTATTTCTATTTTCCACGAAAAAGATAAACCGATTTCGGCCCAACGTGGCCCACGCGGGGCGTGGCCCACACGCGGAGGCGGCCCGCGGCAGGGAGCCCGCACGCGCGCAGGCACTCTTGCAAAAATGCCCTCGCGTTATCAGACAATAGGACGAACACTACACGTACTATTTCTATAGACATCGACTTTGCAACGGAGCCCTCGTATCTTTTCACCTTCATACCTGAGATGTCCCCGAGACGCCCCGCGCTCGCCGGCGTGACGTGCGGTGGCACTAGACGGTACGCCGGCCACCCGAGACCCTTGTAGACCTAGCTAGGAGACCGATGCTCACCTATAGGCCGACGCGCGATGATGGGCGGTGGTAGCATGAATGGGGGTGAAGCAGAGCGGGCTCTCCCCAGCGGCGTTGACCTGCAGCAGCGGCAACCGCGTTCCGGTGAGCCACAATGTACAAAAGATAATAGAGGTGATGGGTAAGCATCAGTGACGCACCATGATCCTACCCGTGATGGTGTTCTGGCCGGAGACGCCCCGAGCAAGTCTAGCCGCGTGCGCGCGGCAACCTCGACGGTGAACCGCAGCGACACGGCC